CCGTGCCACATCCATCTAACTCAGGTCAGCCCCTCCCACCTCCACACGCTGCCTGGACCTGAGCGGAGGAAGGGAGGAGGACTGAGAGATTTGAGGCTGAATTACAGGGAACACAAGTGACAGATTTATAGACCAAAGAAGGAAAAAGGGATGCTTTTGCCAGATTGCATGGAAGAAAGATAGTAAAAACAGTTTAAAAAGCCTACTTTCTGTTGACTGTGAGTGTTTTGTTTTCACTTTAGGATGAAGTGAGTCCAGAAGAAATGGCCACCTCTCACTCGGAGCATCCCGACACAGAGTTTGAGGGGATGGGAGACTACGAGGAGTCCTTCCTGGCTGAGTGGTGGCAAGAACCCAAAACCAAGTCTGACACTGGAGAGGTGGCAGACTGATACTGTCCTTGTCTCCTGTGCAGAACATATCCTGACAACAAACAATATCAGCAGACACCTAAGGAGAAAAAAACACAACTTATGCACATGTGTGTTCTTTTCCCCAACTGGAGAATAATAAGGACCAGCTCATTCATAATGTTGATCAAGATCAGAGATTGACATGTTCTGTCTTGGCTGTCATCAGCCTTTTAAAACTCTTTTTTTTATTTTTATTGGAAGACATTGGACTGTATGCCAATGCTTGTTACTGACTTTTCTACATGTTTTATTTAATTAAAGCTGAATGCCCGTGTGTGTCGGGGCGTAAGGAATATGACTTGTAGCTTTTCATTCGCTGAGGATTTGTCGGCCCCTAACCAGGCAGTTGTTGTTTTAATTAATTGATTATAATTAAAGTAATTTTTTAAGATACTTTTAATGTTTTTTCCACCAAACTGCAGGAGGGTAGTTTCCAGTGGTGGGGTTTTGATAAATGGCCAAAACGCTTCCAACCTCTCAACCTCTGACCTCTTAAGGCTGAAGAGGTTTTGTCCTTTTCTGCTCACATCATGCATCGAATAACAGATTTGGCACCTTTTTTTTGTGCTTGTTATGCAGACAAAGTAATAAAATGTGAAACAGACATACTGGCTAGGATAAACTGTGAGGGTGATCGTTGCTGCAATTGGAATTAATCGGCTTTTCCATTCAAAGTAACAAATGCATTTATAGAAAATGAATGATAAATGATTCCTTGCATAATTCAAGGAAATGATATTTGATTTGTAGTCTTAAACATTTTAACCCTAATGTCCCTGATTCCATACTCTTATCTTCTTTACAATAAATATTAAAATAAAACAAATGTCACTCAGAAGCAGAAAACCAAAGCCTAAAACTCCCAGGTCTAAGAGTCTAAAAAAAACGAACAAAAAAGAATACCCAAACAGGAAGGGAGCAACGTGACAGTGTGAGCTGTGGTTTCATTTTTTGACATTTTATTTTCCGTCCATTTCAATTGAATTACAAGCTTGTGTTCTTTTCATCTCATTTCAAAAGCGAGTGTCTAAAAATATGGGCTAGGGATGTATCTTGATTCGTCTTTTTTTTCTCTAGAACTTAAAATCAAACTTTGTATTTGATACCAACTCTGTACATATTGTAATAATAACAATAGTGCATCTGCTGTAGTGCAAAGCTCAAATGAACTAAACGAACCTCATACACACATACAGTTTCAGACAAGCTGCCTCCTGTACCCAAGACCAGATCTCTTTAATCTTGTTTACAGAGTGGGGATCATCACAAAGCCTCCAGGCGGAGGCGTTCACCCGGGGCTCAGGGCTATCGACAAATGTACAAAAGATTCAGAACATTTCAGTAGTGATAGCTGGAATGACAAAAGAGATGCAAGGGGAGTGTTGAGTACAGGAGAGATCTGCAGATGTAGGCTGTCAAGAGACTGCCGGCTGTATGTTCGCTGAAACAGATAGAACTCATTATTTTAACATAGCTTTTTAAATAAATCTTCATACCGTGTATTTAACATTCAGTATAACTTGCACATATTTACAAATAGGTGTGCATACAGTTGGCTAGTGCTCATTTTCATGACATAAAAACTGTTGAATTCTTTATTAATGTGCTGCCTAAACAGTGCCATGGCTGCAGCACACAACACTTTATAGAAAGAGACAATAATCTAGAGGTAAAAACCCGCCTCTCTACCTGTGATAGGAGTGTTAAGGTGTACACAAACCTAACTGCCCCTAACACTAATGTAAACACGCAGACATTCTTCTTTTAAAAATCTGTTTCACCTGTACATTCATTCATGGCAGACGCACAGATTCGACCTCCTATGTGTACAAGCTTTGGGCCTGAAAGAAGTGATCACGCACACACACAGACACTGATTGTGGAATGTATGTTTGTCAGTCTGTAGTTGAAAACACTAAGTTACGGTCTCTGCTGCTTCAAAGTTCACTGGTTTAAAATGATCCCAAAACCATTTTCCTTTTTTGTACCTGAAAACGTGTGTGGGAGGAGAAGGAGGAGGGGGGGGGGGGTGACACACCTCCAGTTTAAAGTACAAATAACATAGAACATAGACATAAACTCAGTTATCAGTCTGGGCTCTGGCTAACGGCTGGCCAGATTTGAGTCATGTTCCGTATTAATAGTCTCTCCTAACTCTCTCTTTGGAAAACATGCTAACCATCCCTTGTGTCATCTCATTCAGTTGTATTTCCATGTTGCCAAATGTGATTTAAAACAGATAATTGTCCACTCTTACCAAGGCTTGACCTTGGAGTTCCTGTACCTTAAGTTCTTCTCCTTTAAAAAAAAAAAAAAAAAAAGAAGAAACTATTCAGCTCCTTTTTGATTCAGTCTTCAATCAGACGGCCAGTCTGTGTGCTGGTCCAACATTTAGCTGGGGACTAAGTTAGCGGCCAGTTTTGTTTGTTTTCAGGCCGGCAGACATTGGAAAGACAAGTCTCATATTAAATTGGTCCATCGTTGATATGTTCTTTATCCGACTGTCCAAGTTGTGAGAAAAGCACGTACACAGACACCAAAGCACATTCTCAAAGCCACCGTAATGGATGGAATATCTCGGTGCCTCCGGCAGGAAGAGCCGCCCGCTCGCTCTACGTGTGGCAAGGACACAATCCTCAGCGGCCCCCCCTGGCAGCAGCCACACAGGAACGATTGGGCTGGTATGGTTAGAGGAGCTCCACAAGAGAGGGAGGGGGTTGGGGGATGGGGGGGACTGACAAGAGGGGCGGTGTGGAGGAAACAAAAATCGGAAGAGTTCTGGAGAGATTGTGGGACAGGAGTGGAAGACTTTTTGTTCCCGTCTTCTCCGATGTGGAAACAACACAGTGCATGGAGGAAGACAGGAGTAGACAGGACACATAAAAGACAGACAGACACCTTATCCACCACCAGATCTGAAAGAGAAGTGGACACAAGGATGGTTGATAGAAAGAAAAACCAAAAAAAGGACTCTTAGGTGACAAGAGATATGGATGCTGATGAATTGGAAGAAGTTTTTCTGCTTTACAACGATCAATGTCATGGGACTGGGAAGGAGATAACGTTGTTGTTGTTGTATTTATCAGGAACTGAAAAGGGGACGTTGGTCTATGGGGATGACTTGTTGGATGGTGGAGTTAGCAGCCATGCTGAGGGTATTTTGGGATGAGATGGGATGTTTTTTGATCAGCATATCTCATGGACAAAGTCCGGCACGGTTTTACCTTCCTCTTCGAATGTTCCTGCAGCCCATGAGCACACGTTGAGAGAAAAGAAAAAAAAACATGTAAGGAGAAAAACCGACGACTAACAAGCTAACATTGGTTAAGAAGACCATGCAAAGCAGATCATCCTGCATGACAATTAGCATGAGAGTGTGAGGACAAGTATGCAATAACAGCATTGTAAAAAAAAAAAAAAAAGGCTTCTACAGTTAGAACTGTTTAAAGCGAGCTTCAACAGGCCTGAATGTGACATTAGGACAAAATATCTGAATTAATATTTCAGTCAATTATTTCATGTTGGACTGTCGACTCTGTTAGATTTTAGAACCCAAATATGAATCAAATCAAGTAATTTAATCAATTATTCACCCAGCAGTCCTCTCCAAAATCTCTCTTGCCGGATTATTTTTTTGATGACATAACATGCAGCATGTCTACATTTAGCCATGGCACTGACCCTCTCGGCCCCATTGAGGCGAACAAGGCGTGACCCCAGAAACTGTTACACCCGACCTCTGGGAACAGTAAACGTCCTGCTTACAGCTCATGCACACATGCACAGACACTTACCTCTGGCCCTGAAAAGACTGACTGCACGCTGACTGCTATCAGCTATCCCAAACAAAATGTTTTTTTATTCTATGAATTGAACTGTGAGCACAGTCGGAGCAGTCCTTTCAGGCCAGAGTGTGAGAAGTGAACAATAGCGAGCATGCACAGATGGGACAGTGCAGAAGTGGCACTTGGGGTTAGGATGCTGTCAACAGAATAACGCAGGCTAAAAGAGCACCAATGTTAAACTTATCAAACAAAGGTGTTTTTAATCTGCTGTTACCAGTACTCGTTTTTAAGGCTAATGCACCTAGTGGATGAGCAGATTCCTGGCAAGTGGACATCTCATTCCTGCCCTATCATTTACATAAAGGTGTGTTTCTAGAGGAGGGAGGGGGAGGAAAGGTGCAGAATAGAGCTACGGGTTGCTCGTTGATTTGATCGAAAGAACCCTACGTGACATTTGTCAGAGGGCGGAATGAGTGTAAAAAAAACATTATCATGGTGGAGCTGTAAACCCATTTCCCCTTGTTGGTGGATGAGTTGATCCCAGGCGTCTATTTCAGAGGGGTGAGAGTGGAAAGGGGCGGGGTTTCCTTAAGGTAGAAGCAGACAGGTACACAAAGGCATGCCAGAACTCTTACTTAAATCCCCATCCTGTTCCCCCTAGGACTATAGCTGCCAGGAGAATAGCACCTGCGATGGACCCTATTATGATATTGGTGCCACTGGGACCTGCGCAGAGGAAGGAGGGGGGAAGGGGGGGGGTTGCGAAGGAGGAGGAAGGGAAGGAGGGAGGGGGCAGAAACAAAACAACACCACTAAAAAACACACGTCAGAGGACAGCATCAACACAGAACATCAACAACATCAACTAGAGAAGGAGAGAGGCAGATGAAAAGATACCTGCAGACAGAGAGAGAGAGAGAGAGAGAGAGAGAGAGAGATGAGGAGAGAGAAGAGGAGACCAGCACGTGGGGGGTGGAGGTGGGAGTACAGGTGGGTGAGCGAGGAAGGTCACGGAGACAACGAATACAAAAAAACAAAACAAAAACAAAAGGAGAGAGAGATTTATTACTTTGTTGTCATCCCCCTCTCCTGCTCTTTCAGCTGGAAACCCTCCTGCACAAGGTTGGGCTTTGGCTCTTTTGGCCCTATGAGAGCTGCTGCTCAATTTCTCTGTGTCATTGGCAGACTGCAAGAAAGTAAGGAGGACACTTGAGTGTCTGCAACATATACAGTACCATCCACACACACACTAAAACACATACACACTAACAATCTGAAGACACTAATAATTCCTATTGATGATGTGTCTAAACATACACCCACACTCATCAAGCATTGATAGCAAGACTCAGCAGGAAGGGAAACTAAATACTGATGTTGACTTCCTTAAAATAATAATAAAAAACGACTCTTTGTGTTTGTCAGTTCACAGAGAAGCTACAGTGAGAATGGATGGAGACTATGAAGGGGATATGAGGGGGCAGACAGAAAGAGAGACGTGTGAGTAGGCTAAACAGGTGCTATGGACCTTTCTTCTCCGGGCCAGTCGGCACTGTCGGCTCAGGGATCGGATCAAAGACACTGCAGTCCTTCCCCGTGTAGTCCCTGTCGCAGATACACTTCACCTCATTACTGCAGGTCTACAAGAGAGAGACAGAGAAAATGAAAATCAATGACTTTAGCTGTTCATAAAAAAAGAGAAACACGGAAGACTCAGAAAGAAATGATTTAGCCAGAAGCCATCTATGAATCCAGTTTAAACCTGTCTGAGTTAAAAAAAAAAAAAAAAAAAAGTCTGTTTTTGGGAATCTTAGAAACTGTTTCAAATTTCTTTAAATTACAGTATTTTTATATGATTGGTGATCCGTGGACTATAGGTGAGAAGTTGATGTAGCCTCTGGTTTATAAAAGTTAAGAATACAGACATAGGCTCTGAATCAGATATTGGGAACAGAGATGAATGCATATTATAGACAGAGTAAAACAAAGAAAAAACTCATCTATATTTTGATGTGAAACATGTTCTAAATGCATGTTATTGTGTCTGAAACAATGTTTGGATGCTTTCTCTGATGTTTTTTTCACTTCACAAGGTTCATATACTCTATGTACTGGTACATCAGATGTACCATCTAATGCAATCCTGCACAACTTTTCTGATTTCTGAACAAATGCTGTCACTATCTTCAGTATTACTACGTATTACTATGTGATAATACATAAACTATTATTACATGGTGTTAGTAATGGTAACACTTCAACAACTTGTCTTTGAATCTTATGTAGTTTAATTCTCAATATGTGTTTAATAAGCAAAACACCAATCCAAAGCTTGCTAAGAAGTTGTGAGTTTTTTACCCCGTGGTCAGAACAGATTTGTCCGAAGTTGGATCCTGAACAGGAGCTGAGGTTGAATGCGGCCACAGGGAGGCAGCGTCGTTCCAAACACATCATGTTGGGACCACAGGGAGTGCCATCCTCCACATAGCCCAGGTCTGAGCCGTCCTCAAGCAGAGCATGGCCCCCCCTGAGGAAAGCAATCAAACAAATCAGACAGGCAGACTAGAAACTTAGGGAGATTTGAATGTTCATACATTGTTAAAGATCGATGTGTTTCTCTTACCTGCAGTCCAGGTATTTGTTCTGGTGGTAGATGGTGAAGCTGATCACTTCACCATGCAGGTCTCCAAACTTTGGCTTCATCGTCACATTGGCACAGAGGAGGAAGCCGCATAAAACATCCCTAAACAGGAGCAAGGCAACAGTGACTGAAGGTGTTCACAATATTAAACTTTTTGTTTGTTTTACAAGTAGAAACTTTTTAAGTCAGGCACACAATTTTGGACCATTTTTGGGTGATTCAGTTCTGACAAATGATTTCAGGATTTTATGCAACAAAAGCTGTTCACAACAACATGACCTCAGTCGTGGTGTTTTTTTTTTTTTTTTGCAGAAGATTAGCCAAATTCCCTCTTCTCCCAGAAATGTCATATAAAGGAAAATCCACTGCAATGCGACAGGATATCAACATTTGCCTTTTTTTTTTGCCAAACACTACACTTTAGCTGAGTTTTTCTTTTTTTTTTTGCTTTTGTCGTTGAATATTTTAAAGAAATAAGAAAAAAAACAGAAAAGACAAAAAAAAAAAAAAAAAACATTTTTACTTTTTAGAATATCAGAGCACAGGAGAATAGGGACGGCGTGACTATGAGACTCACGGCTTGTTGCACTGCAGCCAGCCTTGTCCTTCAGGACCAGGACCGCAGTTGCCTTTCTCTGTCCCCTCAGCGTTCAGCTTCTCATAACAAAACCTGTCTGCGGAGTCTGAAAGGGCAAATTGTGATTTCAAAGCCAAGCAAAGATACAAAGTGCTCAAGCATTGAGGTGCATGCGTTCTGTACTCACTGTAACCCCAGAGTCCCGTACACTGTCCATCACGAGTCCTGCACCGTCCACCATAACAGCGCCCCTGAAGGAAAAAGACACAGACATCAAATGTACTGAAAGATGGCCGCAGATAAAAAAAAAAAATAACACCTGCCATAAACCATCCCCTACCTGACTGATATCACACATGTAGCCGTCCAGCTTGTGGACATTATGAGGACACTGAAAAGAGGAAAAGTACATCACTTTCTGAAGGCTCTTACTGATCTTATAGTGTTGTTCATCATTTTTTCAAGTCATCCCTACCTGGCTGGAGTCTCCAGTGCAGGTTTCTGGGATATCACAGTTGTTCACTGCGTCTCGACAAACCACTCCTCTTTGCTCATACTGAGGTACAGCAAAAAAAAACAAGCTTTAGGTACATGGTGCAGAAGTCACAGCAGCAATCATAGTGGAGATTTTTAATGCATTTCAATGCACAATACAAGCTGTCTGACACATCTAGAATAAACAGCGTGACATGTAACTATTTCTGAATTTTGTTGCATTTAGTTAGACCTCTTGGAAAACGTTCTATAAGATATCATATTATTATATCTACATTTTGGGGCGAGTGTTGTATAGGTGTTGATATTTAATGAAATGGTGAATCATTCATGAGATATCGCACCAAATAATTTTGAGCGGCATTTTTTTAATCCCACTTCTTTGTTTCACATTTTAAAAAATCATACAGAAATATGTTTCACTTTTTGTCTCCTTGTCATGCCAGCGGTCTCACCTTGCAGGCACTGCAGCAGAGTCCATCACTGCACATGGCATCATGGGTAAGGGTGCATTTTTTACAGCAGGATCCTCCAGTGCGGGCGCACTCCTGCAGCCACAGACACGAACACAAACCTTCAGCTCTGTTGCAACAAACCGCACACGCTCCTGACCTCATACGGAGACAGAAGGTGACACAAATCTGCAGAAGAGCTGGCTTTATAGTGCCGCATAATGACCAAACAGGATTCTCACCACTTGGGAGCCACAATCGCACTCCTCTCCTAGCTCCACGAATCCATTCCCACACTCTGGAGGGTCTAACAGCTGAGGGAGGCAGGGAGGGACATACATGATCATACATGAGTGGAAGACAGATGGAAGAGGGATCACACGAGTCTGTCTTACAGTAAATTGTTGGCAGAAAGAAGAGATACAACGCCTCACTTAAAGGAAGAAACGTGCATTTCCCACACGCCCTGTGAGTATATCATTTATGTTCTACTATGGAAATTGTGACTATGTGTATTAATACGGCTATAAATAATGATGCTGTTACCATATGCGGCTCCTTTCACAACATCCCTAGGTGTCTATATCCCTCACCTTGTTGGGCTTATTGAAGAGGCAGCTCCCTCCCCCCTGGAGCAAGAACTGGATGTACTCATCAACACTGCAGCGAGAAAACTTTCTAGGCAGATAATATCTGTTTATACACACAGACACACACACACATACACACACACGCAAAGATCAAGACCAGGACATGATAAAAAAAAATTAATAAGATACAATAAACAGTCCAATCATTGTGCCAGTAAGAAATGCCAGATCCACTGTGGGTGTCTGTGCAGCCAATTTGCAAATTTGACAGAAATGTTACCATCTGTAGTAAGATATGAGTCAAATGAATAATCTGTATTGTTCCATCTGGCGAGGAGAGCCAAATTCAAATTACTCATACTGTAAAGTAAATACTCTGAATTCCATTTTTCATTTCAACAATATGATTATCAGCACGACAGATGACTGATGTTTTAAATAAATGTTTAAAGCATCAAATAGAAGCTGTGATTATCAACAGCTCACTGAAGACTTAGTAAAAGTCAAAGCTTCCCTCCATTCCAGGTGTTTAATTGTTTAATCGAGTGAAATGAAAGTGACAAATTGCAGCGTGGAGGGAGTGCAACAAGAAAACAGTCCTGCTGTTTTCTTTTGAATTTTGACAACAAGCAGAGAGTTTCGTTTTACAGGTGTGTTGTGGTTGGTGTGTGTTGTTCACTGCAGTGTGCTGGGATGTAGACATTTACCCAGTGTCTTCCATGATGCAGCCCAGCCAGGCATCTGGGCACCTGCAGTCTCCTGTGACGAAGATAAGGAGGCAGAAAAGCACAGATTAGAAAAGTGAAATGAATTGAACAAATGTATTGAGTGATCAGCATTTATGACCAAAGCTTTGACATTTCACACGCTGCTGCTGAAAGTGTTGAGAGAAAGATTTGTGATCGACAAGCACGGAAATACTTTTAAGCCAACTGATAGAGACCAAAGTAAGGAGCCTATAGTGATGCACTGAGCCCCTGTCCTCACATTGAATAATAGACCTGATGGCTCTTCAACATTAATCACAGAGCCCATTGTTCAGTGGCAGCAACCCCCTCCTTCTCAGTCACAGGTGACTAATCACCTAATGGAGAAGTCTAATTACAGAAGAGAACTGCTGGACAGGGATACCATCATCCAACACTCTCTCTAACACCACAACCCCTTCCCCCCCAAAACCCCCCCGACACAAATACACTCCATACATTATCAGGCTTTTTCTTTGTCTTTTACCTGCAGAGTTACGCGCATTGTTCCACCTCATGCCGATGTTCTGGCCAAGACTCTGGCACAAAGTGACGGCCATTGCACCCACGTTCCCATACTAAAACGGAAACGGGTACAAACCACAGAGGAGAGCTTTAATTATTATGTCACTTACCGTCATTATTGATGCACAGCCCGTTTTAAGCTGCACGTTTTATGACGTCACTGTCGACGGCCGGGGAGTGAGCAAGTATTTTCTGAATGAGTGCATTATATAGTCCACTACATATAATTTAGTGAGAAGGGAGTAGTGAATGAGGGAGTGGTTTTGGACAAAGCCTAAATGTCTGCAAATGAGCAAATGAGCAAATTTAAAAGATTATCCAACTCTCTTTAAACTTCTGTTCTACTATTACTCGTTTGAAAATAGGCTTACAATTAAATCTTTTTTACTTTACATTATTCTAGTCTTCATAAAACCTAGATTAAATCCAGCTCCAGCATTATACATTTTACTTTTACTCTGGTCTACAAATGTAAACAAATAATATAAGCAGAGGCTAAATTGTAAACATTTGAACTAAAACATTGTAGTCCTTATTTAGTCAAACATTGTAGTCCATATTTAGTCTATCCCTTATCTTCAGTGTAAAATAATCCCTGCTGGTTCAACAGAAAATATAATCTGAGATTGTCCTCACCTCATTGATACCTCCTCCCCTTGTCAGAGTGCATACCCCTCCTGTGTAGGCCGTCCCACTACGGCTACTGTGAAATGTGCGGCCTCTGAGGTGCGCAGAGAAGAAAAGAACAGTTTAGAACAAAATCTTCCCTCGGATTCAAACATGACGTCAGCCGCAGTTCTCAAGATTTGACGATGCGGTCCTCTTACGAGAAAAGATGGACGACATCGCTCTGCTCTCTGATGTTGTCCTTTCTGTATTTCATGAAGTTCTGCAGCGTTATCAATGGATCTTCCGCTACTGGCATCATATTTTTAGAGGTCCAGGTCTCCATGGCAACCAGAACAATCCTCGTGTTCAGCTGTTCCTTATAGATCTGGGGACCAAAAACGCCCATCAATCTACAGCTTTGTTGGCATGACACCTGTGCTGTGAATCCTCTGTGGATAGAGAACTGTGGGCTGTGTGGGCTAAAATATTTCCTCATTCTGAAATACACACAACCAAACTACTGGGCAAGTGGTGGTGTGTGTGTGTGTGTGTGTGTGTGTGTGTGTGTGTGTGTATGAAGAGTTGGAGTAGGAGTAGGAGGAGAATAATCCTACCCAACAAAGCGCTTACCGCATCTGCCATGTTGACCACTGCTTTGGCAAAGTTCTTGGTTTGGCTGCTTGAGCGACGCAGCTGTACAAACTGTGGAGACACAGAAGTACAAAGATGGTGTAAAAGATGGGTCATATTTCACTCTCTCAAATACACCCAAATACGTTTGTACTTCTATACTCGTAAGGATCAGGACAAAAAGGCTTAGAGTTTTCAAGGAATATTTATCTGATACCGTTTCTATAAAAACTGTTTCCTTTAGCATCCCATAATAATGAAAAGGATGGATCCAAAATGCAACTTTTTTTTTTCTGAAATAAAACATTTTGAGTAAGAAGTGAATCACTTAAGTGTTTAAACAGTAATATACCTATTCAGTGTGATGTGACTGCAAGCACCTTCAGCTCACTTCATTCAACCATTGTCATGATGTTTATAGCCTGCAGCTAAATGGCCACATTGGAGAGGCTTGCTTATTTTGCTAGATGAAGTAGTTTTGCAAGTTTCCAAACTAATATAGGTAATTTGAAGAGCGACAAGGACAGAGCACACCGCTTCTTGCTCAGTCACTCTCTCGTTTTCTCATCCTAGCTTCACCCCTCCCCTGCTGATAAGCCTCTGCCATTGTGATCTGCCAGTACAGTGATGGGCTAACTGGCTTAATTTAGGCTGCTGTGGTGAACCTGTGCCATACGCAATTCTCATGAGATGACCTCGGCCCGCTGCCAAAGTTACATACTGCAGTAAACAGGTGATCGGGACACGCTCTGAGCATGGAAGAGGCCATTCTGCCTGCTGAAAGTTATTGAGCCATCAAATCAACCTTTAAACTACTGTTTAAACGTGGAAAAGTTGTGGATGCATAGGGACATTATCAGTCTGTCTGTCTGATGAAAACAGAAGCTTTGTAGCCTTTTTCATGTTGACATTTGTGCGCACTCAAGCATGCAAAAACAACCAGGTTAATACATGCGTCCTCATGCTAGGCTTTTAGATTGTATTGTTCTTGCAAACCATGGAGGTAGATCCTTTTCCTCCTAAATGATACATCATTGCAGATCAGATGTCCACATAATAAGCAGCACATTGTGGTTCTGACCACAATGTGCAATGACCTCACCATTTCATTGTCGTTGACCACCATCAGCTCAATATATTTGGTCTCAGTGTGCACTGAGGGCTTGCGAACAAATCTCTTGGACCGTCTCAGCCCCCCAGACTCCTGCTGCTCTCTCATTTGGTCCGGTCTGTCGTCATCACCATCACCTCCTCTGCTCTCCCACTCATTGTCCTCTGTACAGTCTGGACACACAGAAGAGCACAAAATGCAAGCAGTCAGAGCTGTTTGACTTGTTTTGGTTCTGTAAGGCGCGGTGCAAATGCTATCAACCTTTGACTGTGATTATTGCTCTTTCTGAAATATCTTAACAAATACAGCCAATTTAACTGTCATAATTGTTTGGAAAAACTGGGGGAGTACTGGATAGTAACATATGCAATAATCATTGAATAATAATCAACATTCATTTTGATATAATTTGAATACTGGATAAGAGTTTGGATCTTGTGTTTTTCTTATTTTTCCAGAGAAAAGAAGTGTGATAATATCAATATGTGATATTAATTAAGTATGTAATGAAAAGCTTAAATGCAGTATTGTCATAATGTGATATGTGTATCAATAGTTTTGGCTTGTTTTTGTGCTTATGTACCTGGGCAATGCGGGGAAAGCCTGACATCAGGCATCCTGCGGATTAAGTGAGCACCATCAACCTATGACAGAATACAACCAGGAGGCATTAGACACGACAGAAACCTAAAAACCTAAAAACACAAATGCAAACTTCACTCAATCATAATCGCGTGTGGCAAATCCCAGACAATTTACCTGATAGCTCTGATTGTGAACAGGCTCAAGTCCGTATGAGAAGAAGCCGTCAGAGAACATGCCGCTAAAAAAGAAAAAAAGAAAAAAGACGGAGGGATACACCACAGAAAGGCAAACAATATTTAAAAATCAAACAGGATATCATGGGAGCAGAAAAAAAAAAATCAGTACAGCCTTACCAGTAAGGGCAGGTGACATGTGTGTGATTTTAGGAATAAAGGTTTGACGTCATGCTCACCACAGGCCATGGCAGGTAGATAGAGCTGCCCAGGACTCTGGTAAACCTCGTAACCTTCCCTGGTAGTAGCAGTGCTCCCCTCCCTGTGGGCACAGTGTTTCCATGAAATAACCTCTACTGACACACTTGAGGCTGAACAGGCACACAGCTCTGAGGAAAACCCTCTTACAACCTCTGCAGATGCCCCCCCCCCCCACACACACACACACACACACACACACACACACACACACACACACACGCTTCATGACTGCATTTATGGCACACTTTGTGACCTACTTTTGTCCTAGCTTTCCTCCACCCTACTCTGCTTCTCCGACAATAGCAGTGCAGGTAGACCTTCAACAATCTCTTCAATAAATCAACACTCACATTGCCCACATAGGGAACAAATGCACAATAGCAAGGCTGCAAATGAATATCCAAAGATAAGAGTAAAACTGGGATAGTTCCGCTTCTTTTTTTCTGCCCTCAAACCAACCTTGACTTCTACAACATAGTGCTCTAAACCTTCTTCTCTAGCTAAAGGGGATTCACCGCTTTACAAGGCAACATTTTGCGAAGACAGCCACAGGAATTTGAGAAAAGTGAGATTCATGATTCACTTATATCGAATTGAGTTCAGCAGGGTGTCTTGGTTGGCCTTATTGCTTATGAAATAAAACCATTTTGATGACACAGCTCCGTCTGATTACGTGCTGCCTTGATGCGTCACACCTGTCCAGTCCAAAAGCAGCATCACAGGCTTCATGTGAGGCCTCCATCCAGCTAAGCAGCAATCTGCTCCAACTACAGGTCTCCACCCCTGACCCTGCATGCTTCCTCTACCTCCCGCCACTCTGGGAACACTTGTCTATGATCACACACACACACACACACACACACACACACACACACACACACACACACTTACGCCCCAAAATGAGTCCTCTCACATCATGCCTTTAAATTTACAGGCATTCTACTCCTCTAACCCTAATTCCTCCACCTTCCTCCTCCTCCTCCTCCTCCTCCTCTCACGACAGCTTTGCTCTTCCCTCCCTCTCCGCTCTTCTTTTCATTCTCGTTGCTGCCAAGAACTTAATGACAATGCTGAGATAACTTGTTGCTATGGAAACAGGCTCGTGATTGGCCAGGGGGACCAAGGGAGAGTTTGAAGCGGTTGTGGGCGGGGACACCGAGTGCTGGATGGGTGGGTGGGTGTTGGTGATCGTTGGGGAGATGGTAGTGAGTGCCACAATAGTACAGAAGAAAAAAAAAAACATTAGCCATTAGGGCGAGCAGAATGCAGTGACACTCCTCTGGTCCGACCTGAAAAGCACACACGAGGTTAAATGTCAAGGCTTCCCACCATGTTGATGTCATATCTGCGTTCTTTGTCCTGAGCTTGTTGTTTTACACCAAAAAGAGGCATGCAGCTGACAAGACAGCTCAATGTTTACAGAGCAAAGTAACATACAAATATTCACAGTTACTTGGCAGCCTGTTATAGAAGCAGTGAGCAAACAAAGCACTTTCTATAAAAAGATTAAAACCAGGACGAGTTCAAAGTGTAAAAACTGAAACAGAGCTTCACGATGATAAAAACGTACAAAAGAATGTCTATGATGTCTTTAATTGGCTTTATAACCAAGAAGACCTTGCTAACATATATGAGAACAGATGTTATACGATGAACTCTAGACCATGTGAGGCGGTGCACCTGACAAACAAACTTTGTAAATGTTCTGAAATTCACTGGCGACAGCACCAGTGTGAAATGTGACAAAGTCTCAATTTCTGTGGCCAAAAGGCTGAATGCTGCACAGCCGCTCTGGTCATCTCATTAACATGCTGCCTTCAGTGTTGCCAAAAGCCAAGTTCGCTCAGTAGAATCCTGTCAGTACACATCTTCACCCCACGCAAACAGTCTTACCACTGACTGAGAGGGTCTGCCGTCTTTCTTAAAGTGCCGTTCCACATATTCTGAAGACAGGAGGTGACTGAAAATAGAGGAGAGAGATCATGAATGTCTCTAACAGCTCTATCTCATTAGATAATATAAATACAATACAGAATATATCTATAATTAAGTTTCTATGTCATCAAAACTGGTTTCATCCATCTCTTGCGTTTGCCTCAAATGTACTTCACTAAGAGTAAGTGAACATTTAATGTGGTTTATTTAATACAATCAGTGGAGTCTCGTAAAAAGCTGTGGTGTATGTGTGTGTGTGTGTGTGTGTGTTTCACATTGGTATTCCCCATCTTGTCATGTAACACAATAGATGTGCTAAGTGCATTAGCTTAAGTGTGGGGGGAAATGCTAATGAGAACAGCTGCAGTAAATCAAGAGAACCTACTGATACCGGCAAGTACAGAGAGGCAGATTTGATGGTGTTGGACTGTGATACTAACTGATTCAGCTCCAGGTCCAGAGTGAAGGTTTGTCCAAAGGCTGCCACTTGGAAACAGCTCTGTGCCAAGTGGACAGGCTGTAAAATCAAATCAACAGAGACAAAGACAGATTAGATAGTCATGAATTAAAGTGTAACAAAACGTTTGTGGTTGAGTTTCCCGCTCTGTAAAAAGAGTTATTTTGAAAACATGCCATGAATAATTCATCTGAATCAATAGTTTGAACGCTCTAAAAGCAACCCAGGAGCTGAATATTGTGATTGATAAAGTCTCCATTGATCGACATTGGCAGCCAGCATTCAGGCGTGGGTGACAGCAGAGAGCTATAGCTGTTTAAGAGCTAAGCTGCAATTTGGTGATGGGAGATGGAGAGTAGCGGAGGACAAAAAAACTTGACTGATGTCGTCTATATCCAGCCACTGGGCCAAATGTCCTCTCAATGGACAGCTGCCAGAGGAGGTGAGGTGACAGCAGGACCAGGAGAGGGAGAGGAAGATGGAGAGCGAGAGAGAGAGAGAGAGAAAGAGAGAGAGAGAGAGATTTACTGCAGTTTAAACAGTGCGTCTTCTCAGCAGCTCGGGTTGAGCCAGTGTGGTTTTGATCTCAGTCTGGAGGAACCAGGCTACAGTGAATCACTGGGCTTTTACAATAAATGCATCACCAGCCAGAAATCATTTCCTCACATGAATACAGACAACACATTTCTTACTACTGTGTTGGAGAGGCTGAAGCATGCCCCCATCCACTAGTGCTCTGACACTGTTCAGTAACACTGCTCTACTGCTCCACAGTGTAACATTTGTGGTTTTGCTCAGTAGCTGCTCCGGTGCTTTTAAGTGTTTCATATAATACAATTTAAATGTATTGAAAAGAACTTTCAGGAGATTTCGTCAAAATATATTCCAAAAGCATTCGGATTATACTGTAGCCCTTGCTACATATCAGGACTGCTTTCCATGACTAAAACTTCCAAACCATTGTCCCAGAACATGTATTTTTTATTTAGAATGCCAAAACTGCATCCAGTCAATTTGCAACGAACCCGTCATTTAAATTTTCTACTTCAGATCTCAAAAGATACATGATAAAAAGTGTTGAAGTGCAATGTTGTGCTAAAGGGGTGTGACCCAATTACTTGCAATATGCATAAAGCGTGTACTTTGAAAGGACAGCTACAGTATAATATACTGTATATTATACTATCCAATTCAATTTAATACAATACCATTTTATTTGTATAGCACATTTCATACAAATGTAAACTATTCAACTTGAAACTCAAGGCAGGAAATCCAACTACAAACCAAACCAATCAATCAATACTTGAAACAAATGTATCAACCTCAGTCTGAAATCCTTAAATATCTGTAATCCATCTGCATTCAAGAAAATAGTCTTTATGTAAAAAGATACAAAACTTTCATCTTATGACCTATTCAGTGAAAACTAAACACAACAAAAAATGAGCACAACAGATGAAACACAATAACAAACTCAATGAGGCAAAAACGCTGCATCTCCCCACATCAAAGCAGCAGCGATGTGACAGAAGAGAAAGAAAAAGTTTAGTTTATTCCCTGCTGCATCTAAATTTATGATGTCCATCAGTCCTTGCGTCTTTAATCTTTTAAATTACAAAACACAGCCGGTCTAGACAAGTACAGCAGCAGAGGGAGGGGCTATTGAAACATCGTCTGTACGGACATTGCATAATGTTATAACTCTTGTGTCTGTTTTTCATAAAGAATCAGTATAGTTAATGCAGCCTCTCCTCAAGGGGCAACATTTACATCAACTATAGTCAAACATGTGACTGTGTGTGTGTGTGTGTGTGTGTGTGTGTGTGTGTGTGTGTGTGTGTGTGTGTGTGTGTGTGTGTGTGTGTGTGAGTGTGTAGGTGGCTTAATGTACTCTCTCTGTTACATGAAACACATCTCATCAACGTGACTGAAGAAAAGGGTGGGGGGGCAGCGACGGGGAGTGCTCAGCCTCTTGGACCACGCAGCACTTCTCACACAGGCCTGTTCAAAAATTAATGGGGACACACTTCAAACACACCACTGAATAATGAAGAAGTCGGGGGGGGGGCTCATTTCGACAATCGGGCTTAGCTTTGTCATGTGAATAAGAGGGTCACCACAAACACGCACACAAACACTTTTACAGCCCTTTGATAAACGATGCGTTTTACTACAATGCTTACACAGCACAAGAAGCAGGTCACACGGTTTGAGTCCCAGAACTTGTTGACAGGAGATACACAACTTGTATTTAGGCAGGAGTAAAAGGCTGGAAAACAACAACTCGCTCGTGTTGGATACATTGTGCTGAAATTACTCTCTGCGGACATCGGAAGGGATTTTCAGAGACTAACTGGGTCAAAATCACAGGGAGTGGAGAGTCTGCTGCAAAGTGCAAAGACCAGGCACTGTCATGTAGCAGGAGCAGCGTGACAGGAGAAAGCAAAGTGCTGCACAGGTACTAACGCTGGAACAATCAGCAGAATAGAAGTCGGTCTTGTTACAGTCATCCTGCTATATATTCCCACCCAAATCTCCTGCAATGACACCAATTCTGAATGTTCTTTAGTCAGAATCATGATTAGATAGACTTCAAATTGCAAAGGAACATCTCTGATTTAAATAATGTATTCCGATATATTTTTTTCCCCTGGGATACTTTCTTTTTAATCAAATGCCAGAAAGATTTATGTTTTCCTTATGATGCTGGGAAAATCCTTCCCCAAGTGATTCAATGAGTATGAACCAGAACTGAAAACTTGATAATTCAATTGTTGTAGAGTGGACTTAAAATGTTTGTACAACTTACGGAGTTGTCCCTGGTGCTGTTCTTCACCCTGGTATCCAAGTGCTCATGAGCCATTTCCTCCTCTGACTCGATCTGCTGCACCATTCGCTTCGGATAGATGATCTCAGATGCAGTGTCCCTGCTGTTCGACCACCCTGCCGGGGTAAACCAGTCCCACACCCCTGCATCCTGCACCGGACTGTTGTCCAAACCTAAACGCAGAAAAACAGCCACGCTCGACAAAGACACATACTGTAGGTGTGCAGAGGAAATGGCCAGGTGCGGGGACACACTTGATCCTGAATAAGACATTTGTGGTGTTGGGAGCAAAGCAAATAGCAGAAGTTGTTTTCAAGTCACAGCATTCAGATCTGTTTGTTTCTGTCAACTGAGAATGTGTTAACGTATTCATCAAACTGATAAGTTAATAACATTTTATCAGTCTCTTATATATATATATATATATAAAAATACATTTATGTTGATGGAAAATAATGATCATGTCCTAATATATCAGAGCTGGTAGGCTGTGTAGAGGAGTAGACTGACACCCTAGAAACAGGGCCTATGTTAAAATATCAGCAATCATCAACAAGGCTATAAAGCTAACAGGTCGCTTTGGTGATTGACAAGTTAGATCAGTGAATTGTATGTTCACTGGATAAAACGCTACTGGAAGTGGTATTGGAAACCTTGGAAAAATAGCCAGTTTGGCTGCGATGGAAATGTGTTGATGCAGCAAATCTACCGCAGCGGAGAGTGCTGTCAGGCCAGTGGGCTGTTGGCACTGAGATCCCGCTACAATAAAATCACAGACTTCACTGGGTATACAAAAAGTGCTGGTGCAAGGGGAAAAAATGTGGATGCACAGAAAACAGAAAGGGTGCTCCCCACTCTGTATCCAAAAACCCCCCTCTCTCTCCTCTCTCTCTCTCTCTCTCCCTCTTACCTGAGACTGCAAGCCTCTCGCCCACTGCAGCAAAGACCATGAAGCACCACACCGCCAGCATGATCTTCACATATTCCCCCGGATTACAGCATCGAGAGCCGCAAATGTCACGGGCCCGGCCGACGGAGGGGAGGAAAATGAGCAAAAACCGAGCAGCAGTAACGACGGCGAGGATCGAGAATGTGCTAAACATCTGACGCTGTGCGTCCTCTCATCTCTCCTCCTCTCTGTCTCTCTCTCTCTCTATACCGCCCTCTCAGCTACCGCCGCTGAGAAGCATCATTTGCCTATCAGAATGAAGAAAAAATGAATCATAACCTGATGCATTTGGTAACGATCAATGCAGGCCTAGTGAATCATGAGCGTAGAAATACTGAGGAACGGGAGAGAGAGCACCTCGGACGCAAAGCTCCGTAGGGCTGCGCTGGTGCGTATGGATGAGCGTGTGTGTGTGTGTGTGTGTGTGTGTGTGTGTGTGTGTGTGTGTGTGTGTGTGTGTGTGTTTGCGAATCTGCGGTATGCGGAAACGGAGGGATGGGAAAGCGAAGAGAAATGCGTTGGGTCTGCGGTGAGGAGGACACGTGGGGCCGTGGTACCCTCCCTCATCACGGACAGGCTTTCTTCTCCGGTTGCCATGCAGCAAGCTCAGGGAGAGGCTGCGACAGCCCCTCTGCTGCTGAGCTGCAGGGCCAGACAAAAAAAAAAAAAGTCAGAAAGGGGATCAGGGTTGTATCAGTGCAGTTGTTTTCTCAATGTAGCCTAAGTTGTGAATGGGAGTAACTCGGACAGGTCTGCAGAGGATGAAGGTGTGTCATCCTCACCGAGGAGAGGCATCAGAGCAGTAGAGCTCAACGGAAAGCATTCAAATAAAAAACACCATGAGGCCAAATGTCATTCCATAATTCAGAACCTGTGTTTTGGTGGTCACGGAATGCAGACAGTTCAGTAGTTATTAAATTGTTTACACTTTCATTCTCATCCTAAATTCCATTTACACATGTATATTACATGTTTAGAAACAAATAAACAAAAATGTAAATCCACTTGGATGAATTTTAAAGATGTTTTGATTATTATTTTGATGATTAGAAATCTGCTTGAGAGGATTTGTTGGTGAGCTGATAAAAAAAAAAACATTATTAAAAACCTTTGTCATGGTTAAAGACTTAGTAAAGTTCCCCCTCTAAAACTGGTTTTCACTTTGGTAGGCCTCAACCTTTGACATTTAACTGCTTGTACACAGAGCTTTTAAGGATCCTCTAGTTACAGAAAGCATTTAAACTGTTTTGTATGAAATATTTGGGGGGGACAGTGTTTTCTGAGCAGCTGCGGAGGTACATTGTGCTCTTTTACTTAACTGAATTAATAAATAAGCAGGGAAGTGCTGTAACAAAGCAAGACCAGCTCTGCAAAGCCTTCATAAAGCATCACTTGTAAAAAAAAAAAGGCATCAGTCATAGTTACAGCGTATCTCCACCACTCAAAACCAGAAACTCATGAATGCATAACAATGCTTTCGCGATACATTCATATAAGAATGTTAAAATCAACACTTCAAAACATGTAAGCATTTAACATGTAAGCAGATCTACACTGCCAACACATTTAGGCCTATTGTCATTAAACAAGACAGGTTCATCCGTCATCTGAAATGTTTCGCACAGCTTTCCAGCACACAAACCGTTGGCTTCTTACAGGAACCATACATGTTGCCCTCTCTGCCCTGTGACCTGCACCTTAATGCATTATAGTTTCAAGCAATCCTACAACCAAACCCCCCTAATGGAGGCACAGCATGCACTGACAGCCCCCTCTGAATATTTCATCTGACCACCAGGAAGTACGAGACAGTTGGATGGAAGAGCGGCAGGGAGAGTGCAGCATTGAATATGTGCTCTTTGTGTCCCTTCCGGTAAAAACAAAAACAGGAATGCCACAGAAATATTTCAGCTTTTAAACTAAAAAAAAACAAAACAAGTCCTTTCATACTGATAATGTGGATTAAAAACAGCATGTGCATCAAAAACCACACTGTCCCTTTTACTGATTTTCATCAGAACGGCTGCTGATCAGTAATGCTGTCAATTACTTTAAATATTCAGCAGTGATACGGCTGAGTAACAAAAACAGCAGAGAGAACATTTTATCACCAGAGCTACATACTGACTTTGATTTAATTAGAAATACAAGGATCAGTGATGCTGACAGACCTGCAGGAATTAGCAGCCTGACAGGGTTTAAAATGAATATAGGAATGTATGATAAACAATTGAATCCAATAGATTTCTCCATTTATAGCAGTGATTTCAATAGAATATATTCGTAGTCCCCAGACAAAACTTCTGAGGGTTGACATCAGCATCACCTTTGAAGAGTTTGAGAAACAATGAGAGAATTCTCTCTTCATAAGCTAAAAACTTGCATTTCAAATTAGAAAGAGACTGTAACTGCCTTTTTGGTGCAGGGAGGGGTTAAGATGTGGGATATGATCCTTTCACAAAATGTGTACGCCTTAGCTACAGACTATCCTCAAAACAACAGCCTTGTTAAAGTCAGAGACACACTGCCCTCTGCTGTACAGAACGCTGAATCACACCTACAGTTTACTTAAGAGGCAGTTAGAAAAAAATCTAAAATCAAAGTTTCCCCTTTATTAGTGTACCAATCACTTTTCTAGATACGCGTCCCTAACAGTCCCCAGAGAAACACAACAGTGATACAGAAAAAACAACTTAATTTCCCCTGCAGACCTCGGTTTTTTCTTTTTTTTAAAAATGTTTTTACATTGACAGGCAACACCTGTATGCTTCTGGGCGGTTGATACATGTTCCAACACGCCCGTGTTTCATGCTTCTTTGCACACGCAGCTGGACTCTGCAAGGTAATCAAGGTAATTAGTTTCAGCTTTACATCTTACAGATTGCAACGCGTTGTATCATGGCACAGCGTGTGCGTCTGACTCACAGCCCGGTGACGTCACGCTGCCAATTAACGAATTAGCTCGCCCACGAGGGTTTAAGTGAGACTGACAAAAGCGGCGGCTTCTGCATAACATATTTTATGTTTGAGAAGTGTTCACACATCAATTTAGATGAACGGAGTCCGCTGTGAGAAACCTGCCGGCGGTCCGCCGCTGCAGTTGTTCAACTGTACCCACGCAAACTGTGGAGCGACTTTCACCAGACAGTGGAGGCTGAGGGAGCACGAGACGGTGCACACCGGTGCGGTAAGGGAACGAATTAAACATGGGCGACACCAACATGTTGATAGACTTCAGATTAATGTGTTTGGTTTCCTTCCTTCATTCCTATTGGGGAATGTTAAAAATGATGTTTCAAACTAGATTCATTAAGTTTTAACATGTCGCCTCAAATGTCCACAGCGCCCGTGTCCGTGCACAATAGCTGGCTGTGGTCGTCGTTTCACAAGAAAAGCCCACCTGAGCCGCCACATGCTTCAGCACAGAGGGTTAAAGCAATTCCAGTAAGTAACAAGTTTCATCTAGTCTGTTGCGTCCTAGAGCCCAATAACTCATTTCAACTTTCCGCAGATGCACGAGCTGCACGCTCAGTTTCCTCAACACCGGCCAGCTCAAGAGGCACGTGCGCTACGTCCACGGGGAGAAAGAGAAGTATTTCAAGGTTTGTCTTAATACAACATCCACGAGATGGCGCCAAATTGTCAATTAGTAACAAAGATCCTTGCTCATGATGCATGTAGTACTCTACTACCTTTTTGTGATTTATTTATTTTATTTTTTTGAAAAACTGTATTTCTCCCTCAGTGTAACCAGCCAAACTGCTCCTTAACCTTCAAAAAACGCAGAATGTTGAAACTGCACTTGAAGCATCATGAAGTGCCAACTAAATTCAAGTATGTCTGTTGTACTTTAACATTATGTGGTTTGACATAAAATATGGCATAGATTTGGCTGTAGTGTACTGAAACTCATTACCTTTGTCTTGTGAGTTAACAAAATGCCAGATTCAGATTAAGTCTTTCAAAGAATATGGCTTTTCCAGTAATAATCATTTTTGGAGCTCTTGTGGGAGAAGACTGAATGAGAAAAGACTCAGTGGGTGGGGCCCCAGTGACTAAGTTAAACATTGTTTTTTCTACTTCTGCTTGTCCCTGATGGGATTACCTAGGTGTTCAAAGGACGTGTGCGCTGCCACTTTCGACTCTCATGTTGCCCGTAAAGCTCACGAGAAGAAGCATGCAGGTTGGTCTTTCAGTCTTGGTTGGGGTCCTTTCATGCTCCATCTCTTCAAAATCCCTCAAGTCTTGCCTATAATTGTATGTACATCTCCAGTGCTCTAGTGAACAGCCATGGTTCATGTGGAACCTCAAACGGTCTCCAGAAGGGAGACAACTGATGATTAATATGATTTGCTGATAAACTCACCATCCTTGTTGGTCTGGTTGCTGCAGGTTACCGTTGCCCTGACGTAAACTGCCAGGTGATTGAACACACCTGGGGAAAACTTCAGAAACACATGGCCAAACATCCAGGTAAATCAGTGTGTACAACTTGAGACATTTCATCCCCTTTTTTAATATTTTTTTTAACATTTCTAAAATGTGTTTCAGCTAAGTTTGCATGCCAAGCATGTAAGAAGGTGTTTAAGAAAGCGGACGCTCTCCGGAAGCACAAACGGATCCATGCTTCCCATAAGCCTGTTTTGGTTTGTCCCAGGGACGACTGCCAGGCCTACTTCTCTACTACCTTTAACCTGCAGCACCACATCCGCAAGGTGCACCTGGAGCTCCTCAAATATAAATGCTCCTTCCCGGACTGCCAGCGCACGTTTGCTATGCGGGTAAGAAACATATATCTTCTCTTACTAGTCCTTGGGAGGAAAGAATGTTAATAGAATGAATAATCCAATTAGGACACCATGCTGATCAAAAAAAAAATTCTGACATGGGTATAAACCACATGCCAAATGTAACCTAATTAAAAACCCTGAAGGAACACATTTCACAGCCATGTTCTCATGTACAAAGTTTAAAACTGTGTATTGAATGATGGGTTTGTGCTATCCCACAGGAGAGTATGACCAGACACCTGCTTCGCCATGACACATGTGCCACTACTCTAAAGGTAAGTCATCCGTATGCCACAGTGCAGTTGTGGACTAAAGCCATCATTCAGCAGGAATGTAAAGCATTCTGGCCTGGGGACTACTGAGTTTGGACTTGCCTTTAGATCTGTTGAAAGGGGCATGAATGTTTTAAATATGTTGGGGAACTGCAGATATTTGTTTTCAATCAGGGGGGCTATAGAAAATTTTATTGACATCAAACTACAACTAAATGTTTCTAAATATTTAAACAGAAACGTCAGCGTCCTAAGAAGTCCTGGCAGAAGCGTCTGGATGGACACCATCTACCCATTGTGGAGGAAAACTTGCGCCGCCTCTTTGCTCTGCGCATGCGTATCTCCCGACGTACCAAAGTGGAAACCAACCTCTCCGGCCTCTTCAATGAACGAAAGATCCCTCATTATGTTGACCCAGAAGTCAATCTGCGCAATCTGTTTGGCATCAAAAAGCCTCGTACGTTTGAGGAGAAGCCTGAGGTTGCACTACTGAAAAGTTGTAATGAAATCCAGGCAGAGTAATTTGTTTTTTTTCATTACAACTTTCAGATAACTTTAATTTCTTAAGTGAAACTGTTTTCTGTAATTTTGAGGAATATGAAATTGGGTCCCCTTGGTTTAGTTTTCTTTAATGTAGCTGGCATACATTAAAATATTTGAATTAAATATTTCAGTCATTATTTGACAAATTGCAATGTCAAGCATTTGAGAATTTCGAGGAGTTTCTGAAGATATCAAATTTTCTCATTTTGTAACATAGTACCTGTTGACCCAATAAAATCATTTGTATTTTGATCAAATTGTCAAGTTTCACATTAGATTTAATAGTTTGGTTATAAAATGTGTGCTGTTGGTAGTTGCTGAAGAAACCGAATAGTGCATTTTTTTAAAGTAATTGTCTAAGCATCTCATAGTTGGCACTCTGAAACAGCCATTCTGATCATCATATTTGCTTTTGCCTCACACTGCTTGACATTGAACATGTTGGTCTGGATTAAATGTGAACAAAAGACTGCACATGAGTAAGAGCTGAGTCACTCAACATGACACTCTGGGGGTGGATGAGACTTCAACCACAACGATGACTATCAGCTGTAATAACTATTCAGCTGAGGTTAGATAGTTCAGTATTTCCTTGTCAAAATGGAAAGATTCAAACTAGTACATTGGTGCTTATGAATTTGATTTCTAGGGTCTACAGTTGTGGTCCTGCTTTAATTATAATGTATTTGCCTTAATTTTACCTTTACCTTCTTTGACCTTAAGTAAATCTACATTGCATTGGTTATTCAGGAAACGAAATTACAAATGGGGGCCTAGATATTAAGATAAGTAGCATTGCCAAAGTAAACGGTTTAAAAATGCCGTAGAGTAAGACATGCTGAAGGAGGTAAGGCTTAAGATAAAAACCTTTTAAGAAAGTTTTAATATTGAACCGACTTCTGTGGAGGCATTTCGTTGCAGCTACCGACAAAGAGCTGTTGATAAATGACTTGTTTGACCAATGGTCCGAAAATGCTTTCCCTTGAGAAAGGCGCTACATGTAGTCTAGTATTAATATTATTATGAAACAAATCTGTCCACTGGAAGAAGCAGAAATAGATGTGATTTGCTTCCATTTTTGTAAAAATGTAATTATTTTGAGAACCTTCGTGGGCTATAAGCCGTTGATGTCTTGACTTGACTTGTTTTATAGGCCTTCATCTAGTATTGCAAATCAGAAATAGACTAAGGCTCCCAATTAGATAAATCAGTGTTCATTTAAAACAAATATATCAGAATGTAAAAGGTTCCTTCACCCAGAGTGCTGTTAAACGCCTAATTCTTGTGTTCACAATTCAGTTTCTCCCTGGTCTACTGGAGCGACGCGGAGTCCATTTCAAAGCTTCAGCTAAGCTCTGTTACAGATTGTCACTTTGAGTTCAGACAGTGTTTTCGCTGGTCTGTTTCTTTGTGTGCCCAAGGTCATTCTCTTAGAAGCCTCAGGCTGTATTCCTTCTTTCTATCATGTGCTGCTGCTCTTCTGCCTTCTGTCCCATACATTAACCTACTCTTCAGCAGCTGACCTGAGAGATTTGTCAGGCAGGAGAATAGTACATCACTTGTCAAACAGAAACGTATGCATGCCTCAAAACCTGACTGTTAAATTATCTTGCCTCTTGCATGTCTCAATCCTTTTCAAACAGTCACCAAGTGCAGATAAAAGCATAAAGCAGGCACTGAGTGCATTTTAAGATTGTGATATTGCCTTGGATGTTAAGCAACACTTTTAAAGTCAGCATGTCACTGCCTAGCAGCAATGTGAAAGGATAATCATGTTTCTATGGGGATGCAAGGTAGTAAACCATGTTCGTTCCAAGTCTTTGCTCTGTTTCTTGTCTTGTCAGTGGGTTTTAAGAATACATTGGAGTATGTTTGCAGGTGTTTAGCAGGTGTGGAAAGTACTCTATTAGATGTTCCTTGTTGACTGCAGAGTTGATAATTATTTTCCAGATGGTGTCCCGGCCCAAGAGTGCCTGTTGTCAGGACTCACTAGTCAGGTCTGTACTACACCAGCAACACTATAAAAGTGAATCACGTTCAGTTAAATACAACCTCAGCCTTTCTGGAAAGGCCAAGGCCAATTATCCTCATTGTTAAAATGACCTTTGGTGTAACATGTACATATCAGAGCAGCGCAGAGGGAAAATCACAGAAATAGAAGAATAATGCACATCTAATTCGTTGTTCATCATTGAAACATTTGATAGAAAATTCCCCTCTGCCATACTGTACTTTACCTTCAATTTATGTAAAAAAAAAAAAAAGAAAAGGCAACCTAACGTAATGTTCAATAAGCAGATCTGTATTTTTAGTTGCTGCTGCTGATTACTTTTTAAATATATCTTTATAGGACAGTGGATGGATTTTGAAATCAGGTAGAGAGAGTGTGGAATGTGGGAAAGGGAGCAACCGGTTGGACTTGAAACCGAGCTGCCCGCTTGGAGGACTGTAACCTCCGTACATGGGGCGCGGCCTAACTGCAAGGCCGTCAGAGCCCCTGATGATGACATTTTATCTGCAGAAATGGATACATTTGCTTCCTAGATAAAGTTGTTCATACACATTTTATGACTCAGGTTTAAAAAATAAAAAAATGTCAGGGTTTTTACATATCTTACCTTTGAAGCCTAAATTGCGGGTGTTATACATTTCCTAGTTGTAAGGACAAAAATATAGGCTAGCAATAAACCATTTGAAACACACTGATTGTGAGTCATCTGTATCAAAGTGACAAAGCTTCTCGCTGAAATTGCTTCGACCCACAGGAGCAAGTACTTACCGAGTGGCTCCAAAGGCAACAAAATGATTCAACAAACTTCAGCAAATAACATCACTTTAGTATTTAACTCTGAAATAACAAACAATAACACAGAAGCTCTTTCTCCGGGATATATTTTTTTACAGACCTGCCAGTAAACACTGATGATTGGTGCCTTGCAGTATTGCATAACATGTCTGCTTCAGTGAAAATCAGTTTAAATAACTGTATCATCCACCATAGGAACAGGTCGTCATTGTAGGAATGATTTATAACTTCATAGAGCTTTAAAAACAGCGCATAGTTGAAACTTTTAGTAGCTCGTAGTAGAAGTAATAATAATAGTCTCATCATGTATTCCTCACAGTATTCTTGTAACCCAAATTTCTCTTTTCTCATTCAGAGATCATAAAAAGGCAGTCAGAGAAGGAGAGAAAATGTTGCCTTAGAAAATCCCGAAACAAGGAGATAAAGTGAAGTAGGTTAACCATACAGTCGTCATGCCCTGATTTAGCCTGCTTCCTCCAGAATAGATGACCCAAAACCTCTCCCCCCCCCCCTCCCTTTTCTCTTTTTTTCCCATGGCCCTATTTGAAGAGAGCTTCTTGTAGCTGTGCCACCACTGCATGCTTGATAAACTGACAGGATTAACAACATATGCACAAAATAAAGAGGCTTGCAGGTGTTAACATGCTCGGCTCCTTTGCCTGCATCTTAAAGGAGTGTGACACTGCAGCTGTTTGGGAATTAAGCTTCAGATGTGATGTAAGACTTTATGATATATTGCTAGATTCTTTTACTTTTTTAAAGATTATTATTATTTTTTTTTGCACCTTTAATGGAGAGATAGGACAGTGGACAGAGTTGGAAATCGGGGAGAGAGAGAGAGTAGGGAATGACATGCGGGAAAGGAGCCACAGGCCGAACTCGAACCTGGGCCGCCCGCCAGGAAGACCACAGCCTCGACACATGGGGCGTGCGCACCAACCACTGTGCCACCAGCACCCGAGATTCTTTTACTTTTAAACCACCAGTAGGCCTTAAACCATGTAGCTTTAATTTGTTTTTAATTTAGCAGACAGAGACTCTGTATGAATGCTTGGACTACATTTAAACAGCAATCCCTCTGATACTTGAAATATTTCAGTATAGTGGACCAAAAGTCAGACAGACATCATACTGTCTCTACTAGCACATCATAAAATACAGATTGGGACTTAAGAGATAAAAAATGTATTATTTAAACCAAGCTGAGACACAAAAGGTCCACTTGTTTTCGAAAAGGTGTTTTTTTTTTTTTTTTTTAACACAACACACTATCTGTTGCATTATTCTAAAAGGAAACCTTATGACCTTATAGTCCTTTAGATTAACCCTTTCATTTCTGCAGGCCTGAACTCTGACCTTAAGATGAGCTTAACACATGAGAGTGTGCTAAATCAACCAAATCATTGCCCCTTACCTCAGCATATGTTTTTTTTTTTTTTTTTAAATAAGATTTAAGATTCTTCATTAATGTTTGAACAGTCTGAAAGGGAAAGTTTGGCCCCCCGCAATGTTGTGTCTCTGCCCACAGTCAACATTAATTATGTTCAAAATCCATGGCACACATATAAATTAGCTATTGAACAAAAATCAGATAAACACAAATAGCATCACAGTTTATCTTTATCTGTGTTAAGACAATAATGTAGTCCTTAGTATTGACTATCCCAGCAGGAGGTCCGGTTTCCTAGGAAACAGGATCAGGCTCAGCTGTGGTCAGGACTCTCAAAGTCATTCAAAAAGTGGAAGATTGATCGTGTTTGTTTTAGGACGGCGTTTGACGTTGTGTTGGGAGCTGTTAATCGAGAGTAAAAGCTCAATACTCAGCTGGACCACTGCTTAATTGACCATTTTGGTGTGAACATTTGGTCTATTGGCATCATCCTCTGGTCCCCCTGTGACCCTCCATCAGCAGAGTAGGCTGTTTATCTTCTTTTCTTCATCATTTAATCAAGTTACATCATACGTCAAAGCTCTCCTTTGCCTCTCTGCTGTTTGTCTTCAGGACTCCATTTGTCTTTGGAAGCTCTCATTTTCTTTGCAGAATATTACTTGCAAGTTTTCCCTTTGCTTTGTTGTCTGTTCTTTGTGATCCTTGCAGTTTCCCTATCTGTCCTCGTGAAAAACACATAAAACCATGAAGAGGTGAGATAGTGACAGTGGGTATTTATCTTTTTGTGTAACTAATCCTTTCGTGCCTTGGTATGTTACAGATCATTTAGTGCTGCAGAATGCGAACAATTCATTTACATCGTCACAGGCTGAGGGACAATTGAAGCAGGTTCAAAAGAAAAGCCATATTCTTTCTTCACTGTTACAAGAATTTGAACCACAGAGTCCAAACAAACGCTGACATGATTTATCTTGGCATGCTTTCAGAGTCATAGTGATCAGATTAGGTTTTCTCAGTCATTGATCTATGTTGCCTGGGATAAGACTTGATAAAAGAAACAA